AAGACACCTACCAGCCGCCATGACCGGAAACACCAAACCATGGAAGGAGTGAGGAGTGGTGGCACCTGAGTTCCCAGGAGATCCAAGACAAGACGCGAATATTCCTCCCCTTTATAGACTCTCTCTCCCTCATTATTCCTGTCTGCATCTGTGAGTTGAGCTGATGTGGGAGCACAGCTCCATTCTTTGGCCACCAAATAGCCTCTCCTTCTCCCCAATGCTCCTCTCTAGGGTGTGGGTTTTTCCATGGGATGAGCCTCCAAACCTGGGTTTCCTGAGAGTAAGGAACTGAGACATCCTCCAACAGTCAGCATCAATGTGGCCCCACGGGAGCAGCGGGGACACTGCTCTGACAGCCCCTTCAAGCCTTCTACTAACTGCAATCCTGCCAGAGACTTCAAGCCGGAACCGCCCTGCGATGCTGTTCCCCATTACTGACCCACAGAAACTATGAGATTTATGATTATTATTTTAAGCTGCTAAGTTTGGGGATGGTTCATTAGACAGTAGAAGATCACTAATTCAGGGGCTGGGGTGGTGGCTCAGTGGTAGAGCGCTTGCCTAGTATTGTGAGGCACTGGGTTCAATCCTCAGCACCGCATATAAATAAATAAAAATAAAGGTCCATTGACAACTAAAAAATATTTTTTAAAAATCACTAATTCAGCATTAAAGTATCCTACAACTTTTAAATCATAGGACTTGTTAAAATGATTTTTTTTTTGTACTGGGGATTGAACCTCGGGACACTCGACCACTGAGCCCCATTCCCAGCCCTATTTTGTATTTTATTTAAAGACAGGACCTCACTGAGTTGCTTAGCGCCTCACTAAATTGCTGAGGCTGGCTTTGAACTCAAGATCCTCCTGCTCCAGCCTCCCAAGCTGTTGGGATTACAGGCCTATGCCACTGCTCCTGGCTTCATTAAAATAATCTTTAACTTTTTTGTGTAATGTCATTTATGTCCATTTTCCCTGGTGGGTGGCGAATGTTTCCAGGACAGGGACAGGGCCCATTTTCTTGCTGCTGGTTCATTTATCATCTAACATGTAGATTGAACACTCGTGCCAAGTGCTGTGCTGAGCACTGGAGATCAGAGTCAGGACTAAGGTGACACAAACAAGGTCCCCAGAGCATAAAATGAAAGGAGGCACTCAGGCTCAGGCTCATGCCAGGGCTGGGTTGGCATCTGAATAAGTGTCTTTTTCAGCTTTGCTCCTTGGGCATCTTGCTCATCCTACTCCAACCTTGTTGGAGAAGGAGATGTGTACAGGAGAGTAATCCATCTCTGGCCTCTATTTACCCTTGCAATATTCAATAGGGATTTTTTGTGTGGGGGGGAATGTACTGAGGATTGAACTCAAGGACACTTGACCACTGAGCCACACCCCAGCCCTATTTTATATTTTATTTAGAGACAGGGTCTCTCTGAGTTGCTTAGTGCCTCACCTTTGCTGAGGCTGGCTTTGAACTCACGATCCTCCTGCCACCCACCCACCACCATGCCGGGCCAACATTCAGTAGTTTTGTACTGGTTCTTCTGTCGGGAGCACATGTCTAATTGACAGGTTCTGTAATATGCTCTGTTGTTGTCAGGGCAAATCTCCCGTCAGTACCCATAGGCATGCCTTTACTGAGTGCTTACTATGTGCCCCTCTTCTAGATGATGAAGCACAGTTTACAGATAAAGTGCTTGCCCCCAAAGACACACCACCTAATGGAGGATCTCCACAACCCCCACCCAGGAAACCATTAAAAGTTGGAATAAAGGCTATAAAAATGCCCTAATTAACTTCTAGGGAATTATGGGGATTTTGTATCTAGGATGTCTCTGTAGATCTGCACAGGTGGTGTTTAAGCTAAAAGAAGAAGAGGCCAAACATGGAATGGAGGTGGGGAAGGTCTTCAAGGGACTAGTAAGGCCATGGAAAGTCCCTGAGGGGAATGCAGTTGGCATATTAGAGTAACTGAGAGAAGACAAGTGGACCTCTGGACAGGAAATATTAACAATGGGCATTTGTGATGTGAACTAAGTCAGACAGGATGGTACATACCTGTAATCTCAGCGATTAAAGAGGCTGAGGCAGGAGAATTACAAGTCAGCCTCAACAACTTAGAGAGACCCTGTATCAAAATTTAAAAAATGGCTTGGAATGTAGCTCAGTTAGACCATCCTTCCGTTCAATCCCCTGTACTGCCCCCCCAAAAAAGTGAACTGATATTTATTGAGCATTTACTATGTGCAGAGTACTGTGCTAAGAACTTTGAAAACTTAATACTTTAAAACCACCCTACTGAGTTGACTCCCTGATCTTTCTTATTTGGCAGATGAAGAAGTTAAGAGGTGAAATCACTGGTCCAAAGTCACACAGCCTAGACAAGCAATGACCAGGTTTGCACAATTCTGACTTTCAAATTCAGCCACCCCCCTCCCCGGGTATTGGGTATTGAATTCGGGCCCCACACCTGTCAAATTCAAGCTTTAGAGTCAGGGAAATTGTGCTTACCTGTCTCCCACAAGGAAACAACGTTGGTTGCATTTTATTTTTTCAGTGTGGGGACGAACCCAGTGCCTCCCGCATGCTAAGCACAGGCTCCGCTGCAGGGCTACACCCCCAGGCTCACTGTATTTGAAACAGCGCAGTGGGTGAGCATGAAAAGACAGTTACACGTCTAGGTCACCCAGGCGGTCTCCTCTTCCCAACCCGCTGTCTTCCCCTGGGTGAGGGTTTGGGAAGGAGGCGACCAGAACTACATTTCCCTGAACTCCCTTTGCTGGCTGTCAAGCATCTCGGGAATTGTAGTCCTTCAAAGACACCTTCGTCCACAACTCCCGGCATGCATTTGGAGTCCGGATTCTTTGGTAGGAAAGGGGCAGTCGCTGAGCATGCTGGGAAGCGGGCCCGAGCCTCTTCCCGTGGTTAGCCTCCCGGAGGAGCCAGGTCATTCGTGAAACTACAACTCCCAGCGGGCTGTGCGCGAGAGGGCAGGCGGGTTCTTTCTGCCGGAAGTCCGCTCCAGCTGTGGGCCCCGTAACTGCAGCCAGAGCCGTAGCCCCCCAGTTGCCGCGGGACCAGGGCCGCTGGGGTCCTGACAGGGGTCGCCATGGTAACGGGGGCGCGCCTCGCCGGGGGCGGACGGAGGGAGGGTCCACGTGCACACAGCCGAGGCTTGGATCGGCGCTGACAAGTGCCACCCTGCCGCGGATGGTCTGGATCCGACGTGGGCTCTGGGGCTGGGAAGGAGGGAACAGGGCCTTGGTTCGCGCTCGGGTGTGCGATGGGGTCTCCAGGCAAGGGACATTGAGGAAGGGGTGTCCAGAGAGCAGACTTGCGCATACGGGAGACACTGAAAGTTGTTGGGCGCTTTTGAAACAGGAGAGGCAGCTGGCGAGGCACGGTCTCGGGAGTGGGGAGGAGGCGTTGACGGAGGACTGGAGACTCCGGACCGGGAGGGACACCTGCCCGACGGTGGGGCAGGCGGGGTCTCCGGAGGTTGGAACAGGAGCAGGACACTCTGAGGAGAGAGAAGCTCAAGGGGAAGAGAGTGGGCACTGGAGGCCGGAAGTGGGCACCTGTAGGGAGTCAGGAAAGCGTGCTGCGAAGGGAGGGGGTGGAGGTAGGGAGTGGATGCTAGAAACGAATGGGGAGGGCTGCAGAGGTCTTGGGGTAAGGAGGAGGCTTGGAAGAGGCGGCTCTTGGGGCAAGGACTGAGCACTGGATTTAGCGGGTACTTCTGTCCCACAGGTTGGGGCTTGGGAATTCAGGTTTCTTTGGTCAGGGAGTCAGGAAGGGAGATTGGATGGAGGAGAATGTCAGGACGGTGGGTGAGTTTTCCAAAGACAGGGTCTTGGAAACAAGATGTGACTTTGGAACAAGGGATGAGGCTCTGGAGTTGGAGAAGGGCTATCTCCAATGAAAGACTCATTGAGACTTGAGAGAGGGGACTGAAAGTGAAAAACTGGAGGTCAAGAGGGAACAATCCAGGGGACGGGGACTGGAGACAGGGGAAGGTTGGGAGGCATCAGAGAGGACAACAACAGATGAGGATGGATGAGGGTCCTGGAGGGAATGGCCCTCGTGGGGTGGATTCCTGGACGTGGAGAGAATCTCACTGGAAGGTGAAACAGGGAGTATTCGGGGACTTGGGAATAAGAGGCAGAGCTCTCAATTCTAGGCTTGCTTCTAGCTCCCCTTCCCATGTGACCCTTCTGTCCCTGGCTTTGCCCCAGGCTGTGGCTCCTGCTATGCCCAAGCATGTCACTTCCTTTCCTGCACTGGACCCCGGCCCTATGAGGAAGTGGGTTTCCCTGGCTCAGCAGAAGGAGTTCTTGGAAGGAGAGTGTAATATCCTCTTCCTGTCCAGCCTGGTGGGCTGGAGGTGGGGTAGAGTGTGTGAAGGCCTAGGAAGGGTTAGGGGCTCCTACAAGTTGGGATAAGGAGGTTCAGAGCAAGGTCTTTGAACTCCAGATCGGCTTTCTGGCTGTGAGACTTACTTTCTCTGAACCTGTTTTCTCATCTGAAAAATGGGCAAGAGCATGCCAATCTCAGAAAGAACTTGGCCCAAAGCCAGCCTTCCTAGATAGGTGAGTTTGGGTCAGGGTTTTCTCAAAGTCAAATAACAGCACAGTATAATGCTACTAAGCCATAGTGTTTATATGACACTTAGTATATGTTATGCGCTCTACTCTATGTTTACCTTTATGTTTTACCTTTATGTTTACCCATGTGTTGGTCTTTGGAGGAGGTACTCTCATTAAGTTCATTATACAGAAAGGGAAGCTGAGGCTCAGAGAGGTTAACTGATCTGCCATGGACACACAGCCAGTAATTGATAGTGCCAGGCATTAAAGCATGAACTCTTTTTATTTTTTATTTTTTTAGTTGTTGATAAAGCTTTATTTATTTATATGTAGTGCTGAGAATCGAAGCCAGTGCCTTATACGTGCCAGGCAAGTGTGCTACCGCTGAGCCCCAGCCCCAGCTCCAAAGCCTGAACTCTTGATCGAATACTTCAGTCATAATGATAACTAATTTGTGTGTGTGTGTGTGTGTGTGCATGTGTATGTGTGTGTGTGAGCTCAGCATGTAAAGGCTGAGCCCTTCTGACTTTAACTGTGGTTTTCACAGTAGCCCGAGATGATTCACCTGTCTTTTCAGAATCTTAATAGCAAACTTCCTAGAACCGATGACAGCTAACATGGAGCACGGAACTCAAGACGCTGCTCTGGTGCTTCTCATGTATTGTTTACTGATCACATTAACCGAGGCACTGAGCAGTTAAGCCACTTCAGAAGTGACTTTGCAGGACTGGACTTGTAGCTCAGTGGAGAGCACTTGCCTGCATGTGCAAGGGCCTGGGCACTATCCTCAGCACTGCAGAAGGGAGGGAGGGAGGGAAACAGAGCGCTGGTGCGTGCTACGACCTGGACAGACATGAAGACATGACTCTAAGTGAAGGAAGCCAGTTAAAAAGGCCACATCTATGTGATCCCACTACTGTGAAATGTCTAGAATAGGCAAATCCACAGGGGAAGAGGTAGACTGGTTGCCAGGGGCTGAGGGGAGGAAGAGTGGAGGCTAATGGGTAGGAGGTTTTTGGGGGATGGTAAGAATATTCTGGAATTAGTGGTGATATTTGTGCAACTGTGACTATTCTAAGAGAATATCCTAAAAACCACTGAAGTGTCTACTGTACAAGAGAGGGAATTTGCTGGGCGTGGTGGCCGTGCCTGTAATCCCAGCGGCTCAGGAGGCCAAGTCAGGAGGATTGCAAGTTCAAATCCAGACTCAGCAACTTAGTGAGGCCCTAAGCAACTCTGTAAAACTCTGTCTCTAAATAAAATATAAAAGATGGCTGGTGGGCTTGGGTTGTAACTCAGTGGTAGAGCGCTCACCTTGCATGTGGAAGGCACTGGGTTCGATCCTCAGCACCACATAAAAACAAAATAAAGGTATTGTGTCCACCTACAACTAAAAAAATATTAAAAAAAAAAAAAAAAAAGAGGGCTGGGATGCAGCTCAGTGGTTAAGTGCTCCTGAGTTCAATGCCCAGTGTCCTGCCCCACTCCCCCAAAAGAGGATGAATTTCATGATATGTGAATAATAATTCACATCACAATTTTAAAAAGTCATCCAAAAGAAAAAGAAGTGGGGGATGGGGTCATGGCTCAGTGGTAGAACACTCGCCTAGCACGTGTGAGGCCCTGAGTTCGATCCTCAGCACCACGTAAAAATAAACATATAAAATAAAGATATTATGTCCATCTGCAACTAAAAAATGTTAAAAAAGGAAAAGGAAAAAAAAAAAAAAGAAGTGGAAAGCCAGGGCTCAGGCTGAAGAATTGAGATGCAAGCCTTCATTGAGGGCCTCCTGCTTACCAGCCTCCAAACTAGGTTTATAAGCTTATGAAACCTCCAGAAACCTGATGAAACACCCTCTTCTTGGAACTTGTTTTGCCGGTGGGGAAACAGACTATGAGAGGCAGACAAGAAGCCATGGAGCCTGGGACTCGGGGCCCTGGGGCTGGCTCAGAGTTGGCCACTGCTGGAAGGCGGGCTGGAGGGACCTGGGACAGAGCGCAGGGACAGCGAGGCCTGTGTGGGCTCTAGGGAGCAGCTGGGGCCCTGCACCCTATCTCCCTGCAGGGACAGGTGGGGCTGTGGGGCAGTGGCCTCTAGCCTAGGCCACCTCCCTGCCTCTCTCACTTCCTCCTCTTCCTCCCTCTGCCCCCAGATCCGATTCATCCTCATCCAGAACCGCGCAGGCAAGACGCGCCTGGCCAAGTGGTACATGCAGTTTGATGACGATGAGAAGCAGAAGCTGATTGAGGAGGTGCACGCCGTGGTCACCGTCCGAGACGCCAAACACACCAACTTTGTGGAGGTGACAGATGCCCCTCCGTGCCTCCCACACCCCCTGCTTCCTTATGACCTCCTCTGGCCTCCTGCCCAACTTCTAGCTCGAATGACCCTTTGACTGACCCACCTTCTCCTGTCTTCCCTCAGCTGACTTTACCTTCCTTCCTGTATTTGGTATTTTTCTCTTTTTTCTTTCTTTCTGTATTTTTTGTTTTTTGGGTACCAAGAATTGATCCCAGGGTCGCTTAACCACTGAGCCACATCCCCAGCCCTTTTTTATACTTTATTTAGAGACAGGGTCTTGCTGAGTTGCTTAGGGCCTCTCTCAGTTGCTGAGGCTGGCCTCCAACTTGTGAACCTCCTGCCTCAGACTCCTGAGCCACTGGGATTACAGGCATGCGCTACTACACTGGGCTTTGGTACCTTTCCAAATTACAAAGATGGAGATTACCAGAGTGAAAGAGAGGAGTAGATTGAAGATCCATAAACCTACTCCTAGATCTTATCAGCATTTACATTTTTGTCTTTCCTTTTACCTTACTTATTTACTTTATTGTCAAAGAGGTTAGTTTGTGTTCTTTGCTGCTGCTGAGACTGGAACCCAGCGTCTCAGGCATGCTAGGCCAGTGCTCAGCCACTAAGCTACCCTTCAGCCCTTCATTTCCCTTTGTAAAACTCACTATAGGAATGTTCATTCACACGGAAATAGACAGGATAGGATAAAGAGTGTCGTTTGCTGTAGTGTTTTAAATTAAATTACAGACGTCATCATACTTCTTCTCCAAATATTTTTGGGATGTAGCTTAGAAAATAAAAACATTTCCCTACATCATCACAATACTGTTATCAGACCCTACCAAATCAAATTGGTAATACTGCCTTTTTCTTTTCTTTTTTTTTTATGTGGTATG